ATCATGCTAAAGCAATCGACCAATGCCAAGAAGTTGTTGCAATAACTTAAGATGGCAGAGTCCAACCCAACCAAGTATCCCATGGACGCAAAGTTACAACTCGAGAAGATGTTGAAGGAAGTTTGGTGAATTGCACTGAGTATAGGCGCATCATCGGAAGTCTGAGGTACTTGACTCATACTCGTTTGGACCTTTCATATGGTGTTGGAATGATGAGTAGGTACATGAAAAAGTATAATACGATGCATCATCAAGCGGTTAAACACATTCTCCGCTATGTTAAAGTTACCGCAAGCTATGGGCTGAAGTATCAAAGAGGGCGAGGTCTTGAAGAACTAGTCTATTTTACCGATAGTGATTTAGTTGGAAATATTTATGATAGGAAAAGTATTGCAAGAATGACTTTTTATCTCAACGAAAATTTGATCTCTTGGCAATCTCAGAAGCAATGAACTGTGGCACTATCTTCCTATGAGACCGAGTTCCTGGCATCAACTGCAGTGTCGTGCCATTATGGCTGAGAAATTTGTTGAGTGAAGTGACTAGAAGTGAACTAAAACCAGTAACTCTCTATGTCAACAATAAATCTATGATTGGACTGATGAAGAATCTGGTATTTCACAAATGCAGCAAATACATTGACACTCAGCTTCCACATCATTCGTGAGTGTGTTAAGAAGAGACAAATCGTTGTGGAGTTCGTATGCACTGGAGAGCAACGTGCAAATATTCTAACCAAAGCCCTAGCAAGGGTTAACCTTGTAGAGATGAGAGAATTGCTGGGAGTAAAGAATCTCGAACAAAATCAAGTTTACAAAGTAGATTGTGAGCTAATAAACTTGACTTAGAAGAATAAGTTACTAACTATTTGAGTAACATCTGGAGAATTGTTACTCAATAGAATAAGTTACTAACTTATAGACCAACTATACTAGAATTGGTAGTAGTTGTCAAATTGTTGACCCAGTTTTGTGATTGTGAGTCAAGTTTTATGTTTTAATTAGGAAGATCAGTTATTGGTTCCTAACTGGAGAAGAAAGTTTATGAGATATATGCTCTTTTCACAATAACTAACGCAACAAATAGAATTGAAAAGTTAAATGCTTAGTTTTTTTTTTGTTCTAAAAGATCTCTTCTCTCAAGTTTTTCCTTTGCATCTTTTACTTATTTCGACATATTTCGATCGTGATTCAAATCTAACCGTCCAAACCAACTCATGTAGTTAAAGATTAGAGTGATAAAGTCCCTCATTTGCATATTTGTGTGGTGAGTAGCAAAAAGTTGGGTCCTTTTTTATTGTTCTCCCTGCGCATATAAAAACAAGCAGCGAGAGAGAGAGAGAGAGAGAGAGAGGGCATAGAGATCAGTTGTTCTTCAGAAATAATTGATATGCAAAAAGGGGACATCACCTCTCAGACTGTTTACTGACATACAATTGTCTGAATAATCCAAAAGCTTCACTCTCTTCCATAAACCCTCACAAGAATGCACCCAAACTCCTTTGCTTTTCCATATAACACTATTTTCTTTTTTCTTTCTTTTCAACCCTTTTTATTTCCTTTATTGTTTTTTTTTTCTATTCTTCTTTTTATTTTGACCACAATTTCTTGCCACAAGAAAATATGATATTGTAAACGTTATGGTATGATTTACAATATGATGTGAATCTTGTGTATTAAGATAATATGTTCATACTCTGCCTATGAGACAATGATGAATCATATATGTTAATTATGATAGATATGTCTAGTATACGTATGTAGGTTTCATAGGAACATTATGCCACGAAAAGAATGGAAATATGCTTTGTATTATAAGTATATACTATAATTTGAAACTATGGGACCTCATGCATATTATGTCTCATGACAACTTTTATAATAAAATATTTTAAAATATTTTCGGTACGTAATAGACATGTCATATATATAATGACGATGACAAAAAATCTCTTACCTTCTAATAACTTGTCTCATTAAAAAATTAAATAAGCATTGGAAGAAACCCTAATATTGAGTTTGGAAAAAAATATTGTTGTTTTGTTTGGAGCTAAAAACTCGAATCTCCATTAGAAGAGTTAGAAAAAGAGGGTTGAAACTTCTATTTTATCCTATTAAACCAAACAAAAATACAACAAACATTCAAACCCATATCATATTTTTGTTATTATTTCTGGGTTACTCAACCATCCATCGGTATCATAAATAATATTATTAATATCAAATCAATATCAAATCCTGACAGACATGCTTCATGGATTCACGTACTTCTACTCTCATCTCATCTCATCACATCACTGTTTTCAATAATCCAAAACATGCACGAAGTTTCATTCACCTCAGATTCTTCCAAAACAAGCCATTTGTTTTTAAAACATAAACCAAAACCCACCAAGTTTCATACAATACAACACAGATTCCTTTCAAAAACTGGCCCTTTTCAACAATAAAATACCAGGCTAAAACTTACTAACCCCAATATTTTCTTATTTATTTTGAATGCATACACTAATTTGTTTTGGGGTCGGGTTGAGTTGGTTCAGGTTAAGCGTGGAAAGAAAAAGATGGGTGGAAAAGAAAAAGGGAGAAGTGATGAAGGGGGATTTGTTGAGAGTTTAGTTGAAAGGGGAATAAAAGGGGTTTGAGTTGAGAGAAGGACAAATGCAATATTGCAAATTGGAAGGAATCTTTAGGGTTTGATGTGATTAGTAGGTTGAAGGAACCCAAAGTCCACCTCAAAAGTGATACCATCATCCCTTTTGCTGCTTATCATTGGCATTCACTTCCTTGTCCTCTTCTCTTTGGAAACTTTCTTCGTTTTGGGATTCTCATACCCTTTTTCTTTCTTTCTCTCTCTCTCTCACATCTTTTGGTTTAGTTTAGGGCCTTTCAGTTCATCATAACTTTAACATATTAGCTCTCTAACTTCCTTAATTCATTGGTGGTTACAGAATAATTGAGTATATTAGGTAACAAAATGATTGATCTCACCTATGTTATTACCAAACTCACCGCTAATTTGATCGAATAAGGGGTCCCACTTACAGATTCAATGAATGCTAGAAGTGTTCCTATTGTATGAAGAGACTGTAAGAGCTCTGTTCGTAGTTACAGTGTTGGGTACGTTTTTTCTATTTTCTTCTTTTCGATAGTCGTCTAAGAACTAGACAAAAGGAAGAAGCTTGCTTCTAGAAAGAAGATAAATTGGTCAAACAAAAACAATATATATATTTATATTGGTTAGAATTTACATATTTGTAGTAAATTTTGAAAGAAAAATTGAATTTAGCTATTTGAAATATCTTAATATGAAATATCATTCACTATCTATATAGATATATATCTATATAGTAAACTCAACTTTATATTGGTCATCTTCTTCGGCCTAACCTATTAGCTTTGAACCACTCTTATTTTTTATTTAATTAGTGAAGGGCGGTTAAGTTTTATTTATTTATTTATATATATAGAAATAGTCTCCAACCCTTCAATACAGTCTAGCCGGATCTGGATCGTATAATATGTAGCCTCATATTCGACTTAGATTGAAGTTCAATGAACTTAACACACTATTTGTACTTAGGTTAGTGTTAAGGATATTTAGTAATAAATTATAGTTTACCATATATATTATATTTGATATTTTATTATAAGGCAAATATCTAATATTTGCTTTAATATCATAGGTATCTTTCCATTTATTGTTATTTCCATTTATTACTATTTTCATATTCTTGTAATTCATTTGATTATAAATAAGATAACTTTCACACCATTTAGGTGTGGTGGATTAATCAAACATTCACAGTTAGGCTAACCCAATCTTGAATAATCAAGCTTATAACTTGGTTCGGCTCCGATAATCAAAATTAAATTTAGTTTTGGTTAACTTTTTCGAAATTTGATTTATTATATTTTGTTTTAGTGTTTTTAAAAAATTATTTTATTAATTTTTTAAAAACTTTTAACAAAAATTACCAACTAAAAGCTATAATATCTAACTTAAAAAATTATATTAAAACTTAAAATACTTTTTGAAATATATAAAAACATTGCATTATATACATAGGTGAAACAACTAATAGACCAATTCAAATATGACCCAAATGGTGAGGCCCATATGCCAATCCAATATTGAATAAATGAATTGAGTTAGACTAATTATTTAATAAATGTGTTCTATAAGTTTATTTTTATTATAAATATACTATTTATTTATTTGATTAATTCCGACAATAACCACTCCATCATCTATCAACTTTTCCATTCACCAAATTGCCCTTAAAGCCCGTTTTGTACCCATATTTATCACTCAACTCATAATAATGTCAAAGAATTATTAAAAATGAATTAAATAAGCTTTTAACTATTTAAAAATTACAATTTTTTTCTCCAAATTGATTGGCCCCATAGGTGGGCCCAACCAAGGATAGGGGTTAGTTGTGGATCATGGGCCTGAAAAGCCCTAACTAACGNACAAAAAAAAAAAAAAAAAAAAAAAAAAAAAAAAAAAAGACAGCCGTTAGTAGGGTCCCTACATGCCAGAGACCAACATTTAATTTCACATTATCTTCATATTCAATTGAGACCAACCCCTCAATTTTAGGCATTCAATCAATCCTCATTTATCGAGTTAGAAAACATAATCGAAAAATGGCAAGGACCACATGTGTCTCTTCCCGGAATCAAATAAAATGTTTTTTTTTTTTGTAAATTAAATGTGCATTTAATATAGACCAAATTTCATCTCATACAATAAATAACTTAGCTCTTCAATCACATATTTCATCCCTACATAAAGAGACATAAGTAAAACTTTTGAATGTAACAAATATTTTAAATAATAATAATAGTAAAGTTCAGAAAATTAAAATGATTATTTTTCACTTTGTTTTTTTTTTTTTTTTTCTTTCTTTCTTAAATATATATATATATATATATATATATATATATATATATATGTGTGTGTGTGTGTGTGTGTGTGTGTGAAAATTAAACAAAAAAAAAGAAAAATGGTGTTTGAATATAAAAATTAAATTATATGACATGAAATTGGAGGTTTAGGGATTTAACAGCCTCCGAACTCGGATCTGAGGGAGAAAGAAGGGTTGTTGTCGGGGATATTTCCGGCGTGGCGTAAACCTAGTGTCAGCGACACGTCACCCGATGTGGTCCCGAATCTTATGAGTCTGGTGGGCCCGGGGATGTCAGACTTGGCTGAGCCGCTTGTGGTCCTCATCTGCTGATCAGGTGCAGTGAGAACGCTGACACGCCGACACGTGTCCTGCAGCTCTGACTCATACTGGGTGGCCGGAAAGCAGTTCGCCACAGCCGCCTGGGTTACGGCAGTGGATGCGGAGGAGGAGGAGGAGGAGGAGTAGTAGTATGAGAAGGGTGGTGGTGGTGGTGGTGCGGCGGAGGAAGTGGGCGGAGGATTGGATTGTGTGTCCTCATCTGTATTGTTATTATTATTAATATTATTATGATCATCATCTTGTTCTTCTTCTTCTTCATGTTGTTTGGCTTCTTGTTGATACATGTCTTCCACCATGGGTTTCCACAGCCGAACCCTGGCATTAATAAACCAGTTGGATACCTGCAAAATGCAGTCATCCCATTAATGAACCAACAAACAACATGCATGCTTCTTTCTTGAACTCAACAGTGAAATGGAAGGGAGTTTGAACAGTAATATGTAATTGTTGTTTTGTTTTTGTTACTATTAATATGATAATAATCTCTATTTTGTCTTTACTTACTTCAAATTTATTCAATGTCTGAGATGGTGATGCATGTGTGTGACTAACTGTACTTGGTATTCCCCATTTATTATTGTTCCACTTTTTTCAGAACAAAGAATCCAAAGGGTGCAGTGCTAATTTTTGTTTCATGTCTTTAATTCTGACTAAAAAGCTTGTGTACTCACCTGATTTCTTGATAAACCTGTCTGTCTCGCCAACAAATGCTTATCACCATCACTAGGGTACCTGAGAAAACAAAGAACAGATTAAAGGGATTTACTATAAATACAAATCTAACATTACTTTTCAACTTTCTTTCTTTTGGTGTTTGCATTGTATTGTAGACATGCAACCCCAATCCCAATCATTCATTATATTTATCTAAACTTCGGTTTTCTTTGACCTCTTGCTCTAGATCTCCATCTCTATTAGAGATTCTATATCGGTTGGAGAGGGGAATAAAACATTTTTATAAGGGAGTGGAAACCTCTCTCTAGGAGACCATTTTAAAACGTTGAGGGAAGCCCTTTTAAGAAAAAGTCAGTGGTAGGATTTGATTGTTACGAATGGTACCAGAGCTAGACACCGAGCAATGTGCCAACAAGGATGTTTGGTGCTCAAAGGGTATGGACTGTGAGATCTCATACCGGTTGGAGAGGGAATGAAATATTCGTTATAAAGGTGTGGAAACTTCTCTTTAGCCTATGCATTTTATAACCTTGAGGGAAGCCCTGGAACGAAAAGCTTAAAGAGGATAATATTTGTTAGCGGTGGGATTTGATTGTTACAAATGGTATCAAAGCTACACACCGGGCAATGTGCCAACGAGGACATTGGCTCCTAAGAGGTATGGATTGTGAGATCCCATTTTAGTTGAAGAGGGAACGAAACATTTCTTATAAGGATGTGGAAACTTATCCGACAATATTTGTTAGTGGTGTGATTTGACTGTTACAAATGATATCAGAGCTAGACACCGAGCAACGTGCCAGTGAGGACGTCGGTCCCCAAGGGGTATGAATTGTTAAATCCCATATCGGTTGGAGAGGGAATGAAAGATTTCTTTTAAGAGTGTGAAAATCTTTCTCTAGTAGACGCAAAAGCCCTAGAAGGGAAAAGCCTAAAAAATGACACTATTTGTTAGCAGTGAGATTTGACTGTTACAAATGGTATAAGAGCTAGACACCGAGCAGTGTGCCAACGAGGACATTGGCTCCCAAGGGGTGATGGATTGTGAGATCCGTTGAAGAGGTGTTCTTATAAGGATGTGTAAATCTCTTACTAGTAGTGCGACTTAAAACTATGAAACTGACGGCGATATGTAACGAGCCAAAGTAGACAATATCTACTAGCGGTGGACTTGGATTGACATACTTCGTCATTATGGATATCATCATAAACTCATCATCTTGGGTATAGAGAGGGGTTTTTAATGGAGCTCACTCACTACTTACTTACTAGTTAGCTTTTTCCGACAGCTTTTAGCTGACCATGTTGACATCCTAGGACAGTGTATCACTGTTTTCTTCATTTTTTCCAACTTTCTGCTAATCACTTACATTCATCCTTCATCCTCTAAGCTCATTAATTAATGATCTTCTCTCATGAACCACTTCTTAATTGAAAAGCTTAAAGAGGTAGGAAGAAAGACACGTACGGGTGAAGAAAGTGCTCGAAGAGCCAGGCACGCAAGATGTTGACAGAGCGTTCGGGCAAGCCGCGTTGGGGACGCCAAGCTTCTTGTTCCATCATTCCCATTTGGTGGAAGGCTCGTTGCTGCCTCAACCTTTGCTCCAACAGCTTAAGCCTTGGAGTCTCTCCCTTAGTTATTCCTGACCCTCCTCCACCTCCTCTCCCATCTTTCTCGCCCAACATCTCGCAACTATGCTTCAGCTGCGCTGTTATGGCATCCTTCAAACATCTGAAATGCCTCGACATCGCATTCTGTGCCAACACCGTGTATGGCACCGCTGCCCCGAACCCCATCACGACGTCGAATGAATTCACCACCATTTGCATCTGCTCGCAGTAATGGTTGTATCTTCGATCCACCTGCACTTTCCAAACCCCAATTACATTATAACAATACATCCTATATATGCTACTGTCGTGAATCACGAATCTTCACAATAGTATAATAGTGTGGCTTTGCCTCTTGGTTTCTCTAAAATGCCTCATTTATAATAAATTCACAGTCATTTCGTTAATTAGCAATTATCTATTCTTCTTTACAGAATTGAATTCCCCAAAATAATGAAAAGAAAAAAAAGGTAAGAAAGTGGTAAATCTAATGATTGAGTGTTGAAGAAGAGAAGAAGATTACATGCCTCATCAAGCATGGATAACAATTTGACCTTCCTCCTTTGATGTTCATTTCTATCAGCGGCTGACAAAGCGGGCGGTGGCGGTGGCTGCGGTTGATCCTTTGACGTCGAGGACGAGACTCCTCCTCCGCCGCCGTCCCCGCCATGGGAGTTGGAGTTGGAGGTCAAATTTGACTTATTGAATTTGTTATTATTATTTTTAAGCTGATCTCTTCCAACGCTACAAAACTCCTCCAGTAATTCTCGTGCGGGTTTGACATACTTTGAGTTTCTCAACAAGTTGACAACTCCCAAGGAAGAATTAGAAGAAGACCCAATTCCAACCTGGACTTGTTGAGGGTGATGTTGGTTTTGATAAACTAACCCGCTGTCACCCATTCTCAATTCCTCCGCTTTTGCAGCTTCTATGGACGAGGATAATGACAGAGAAAGACGGCCTTCGTTAGGGTTTGAGGAAGAATAGTCTCCTCCTCCTCCTCCTCCTCCTCCTCCTCCTGTTTCTTGTTCCGGAACTACCCCCCATGTGAATTGTCCAAAAGACCCTCCTGAAGATGGGTTTGGAAGAAGCATGTGGAGGGTTGAGGACACGGGCGGCGGTGGCGGTGAGCGAGGGTTTGTGTTCATCAGAAAAAGCTGCATGGCCACCGCCGAGTCACTGGCGTTAATCTCTTGCCGGTTGCCATACCACTCAGCTTGAGGCCGTTGAGGCTGAGGAAAATTGAACATTTCAGATAAAATTCCAGTGGAGTCATAGACGTGGTGAAGGGCAGCAGCGCCAGCGGATTGGTCGTCCTCCTCCTCCTCAATTCCGACCAAGGACGGCTGGGGAGGCGGCGGGTCTAAGCCTTGGAGGCGGAGCTTCTCCTTTCGGATCTGGTGGGCTATGTGGTTGTAGTGTTGATGTTGAGGGTCTTGGTGGGAGGCAGTGGCGGTGGTGGAGGATCTGTCAAAGCCATTCGTGAAGGGTGTGAAGAAGGTTGCTGCCGCCGCCGCCGCCGCCGCCTGGTGGTAGTCTTGTTGTGACATAGAATTACAATAGTAGAATAGAAGAAGTGGACGCCGTCGCTATAATTCCCATACCATCAAATTCTCATAATTTCTTCCCATTTTTTTCTGTATATATATATATATATATATATACATATATATTTCTTCTGGAAATAAAACTAAACCCCAACTGAGAAACTAAGGATAAACAGCAAAAGGGTTTCTCTATTATTACTATATTCTTCTTTCTTCATCCTTTCTAATTTTATCTCCAACCATTGGAGATACCCTTTTTTTATTATTATTAAAAAAGAAATTATTGAGTTACATTGACGAAAATACCCTCCGAATTTTTTCCCATTTCCAATTCATTAAATATACGAGAGATGTCAGTAATTGCGCAAAATACAAAGGAATATCTTAGAAGAGATAAGGATAGTACAAACTACAAAGTGGCCTCAATGATACGAGTGTTGGAATGTCGGGAATGCCCTCGCCTTTCGTCCAATCTGGAGTTCTAAAGGAAGGGCAAATCCGTCATTGTGGTGGGGGAATAAATTAGCAAGCCACAAAGAGAGACAAATTTCAAAAAAGGATTGTAGCAATGGAAATTAATTGAGATTATATTGTGGCACGCACGGGGAATCTGTGGCACGTGCCCCCTTTGATGTATATATGCTGTGAAACCCACACGTAACCGCTTTATTGTTCTGCACTCTCCAAATTTTCGTATTACCAAATTACCCCCCTCCCAATTTCAACTTTATTATCATTTCCCTCTCAAATTTCTTACCCATTTAATTATTTTTAAATAATAATAAAAAACAATAACACCAAAATAATATTTAAACCTGAATTAAAACATTTGTAATTACAACGCCCAATAATTATAGAAAAAATGTTTAGTGAATTGCATAAATATAGAAAAACTTTTTTGGATGAATATTTTAATATATAATTTTAAAAGGAAATAATCTAAATTAAAAAAGAAAAATGAAAAATGAGGTTACTTAAAAATAAATGAAAGATATTAATATATTATTGTGGTTTTATAAGGAGTGTGGTTTGGATATTTTCTTTTCGCGTGAATACCACTTGCCATCTCACGCGTCTGAAACATCCATCCTCGCATCATTGAGAGCGAAATAACTTCTCTTTCATTTTCCCTCTTGTTTTCGTTTTCTTAATCTCACGTGCCAACCTCACGCGCCTACAAATTCATTTATATTTATCTAACTAAAAATTCACATATCACTAAAATATTTCCAACTCACCGTCTATCACTAATATCAATTTAAAATATCAAATATTTTTAATATTCGTAATAATCTTAAAACTAAAGTAAGATTCGATTAAGTTAACTTTGACAAAAAAACGTCAACCCAAATTTTTTTGTTCTAAAAAATTGTAATCGAATCAAAATCGAATAAAAAAAAAAACCAACAAGTTGGATTGAATAGTTCAAGTTAGTTATATGAACACTTCTAATGCAAATTGAATAAAACTTAGATCTAATTCTTTGAATATCGTAGAGAATGGTAAAACATTGTTAAGCTACGTATGCTATTCATGAAAGTTATGTTTATGAAAGAATATAGGTATGACCCGCATCACATGTATATGTCATGATTTAAAGTTATGGGAACTCATGCATTTTGTGTGTCACGTGCATCGGTATACTTTTCTCTCATGATAAGTACGGGAGTGTACACTACAATATTATGTATACCATGATATTATGTGCATTCTTTTTCCTCTACGACTTTTTCGGTACATTAAGTGTAAGCTAGTCGAAAGCTAACTCTACGAGTACATATATAAGCCCATCTGAGGGTTCATGTGTAAGTAATAGGTTATGAGTAGAGAAATAATGGTCATCTAATTGTCCTGTACTGAAAATAAGAACAAGACTACGTGGGTAATGAGAAGATATCTATCACAATGCTTATATTCTCACATCTTCTACTGGACTCGACGTAGAAGAGTAACATGAATGAATATAAAATTGTCAGTAAGTAGCCTACTTTGTAATTATTAAAGTCATTCTTAAGTCTTATATTAATAATACATTAAGGCGAGGGTTGTGATGGATGGGACCGAATGGCAGTTACCCTGAGAGACTATCATTACATTCTATTTGTACTTTTATATCATTTCAATTATTTCTCTCAAATTTTCTAGATTTTTTTTCTTTTATTCCGTATGTGAACTTAATGCACTATTCAAGACATTTTTATATTTTAGATGAATTCAAATGCATTATTTTTTGGTTTGATGATACGAAATAAGTCGTCGTAATTATGCTACAAAAACTTCACATCGGATAACAAGATTATGCCATATATATTCTTCCAAAATTATAAAACAAACTCAATTTTATAGTATTATTTGTAAGGATTTAAATAATTAGCTAGTTGCCGGAATTAATGTGCACGATTTCAATTCACCAAGGTTAAATTCAAGACTACTATTCATGTTGTTGCTTTAGTATTACGATTTTGAATATTAAAATATAAGTTCTATACTTCTTAAACTTACATGCTAGAGTGATTAAAAAAACTTACTTGTTAGAGTGAGTTTTAGTTCGAATCATGAGTTTTCATTAGAACTTGATTATCAAAATAATCCGTTTTAAAACTTTATCTAAGTTGATTTCTTATGGTTTTGAAGTTTTTGGATATTTTAGATCTAAAAACCTCATTCTAAATTGAATCATTAAGCTTGGATCGTATTCATGAAAAGCTATTCCGTTACTCCAAATTCTTGGTTAAAAAGGTGTTTCCGACACGCTCCAAATCTCAAAAATCTGCTATCCAAATGTTATGGGTACCCGAACCAAATCCAACAGCTGCCTCCCTGCACCACTCAAACAAAGGGGCAACATCGATATTGGGTGGCAGAGCTTTGCCAGCCAGTTGATATAATTAGGCATTACATGTGCACACGTCTTCAAGGATCTAACTCGGACATGCATCATTTGATTTACGGTCATCTATTCGTTCCGAAGCCTTGATCTACCGACTCATTAAGTAAGAATTAAGCTCTCGTATCTTTACTTTTAATTCTGATCGGTCTAACCATTTTAATTTTTACTTTTTTTTTTCACAGATAGAAAAAGAAACCCATTGGCATTCTCTCACAATACACTCCAAAATGTTGGGATAGAGACAAAAAAAATAAAGTTGGGAATACTGCAAGAGGACACATGATTGCGACAACAATCAACAACCATAAAAGCCATCTATCCCGACCGTAAAGTAAAACTCATCATATTTTCTTCTGCAAACTCTAAAAACCATTTCAACAACCATCAAACTTAAATTTAAAAGAAAATTTTGATATTATTCAAACTAATGAGATGTGTTCGAGCGGTGGAGTTCCAAATTGACTGGGTAATTCATACTCATGTAGAGAGTCGTTTAATAGACCATATAAATGCCAACATTTAACATAAGTATAGGTATAAATCGAGACGTTTAGCGGTGCAAATTGAAAATTTTCGAAAAGGGTTGGGAAATTGAGAAGGAAAAAAAGGAATGAATAGAAGAAAGGGAGAGTAAAAGAAGATATAATATAATATATATATATATATATATATATATATATATATATATATATATATATATATATATATAT